CCTTTCGGAGCGAGGTGTCCCTCCAGCAGTGCCACAAGGGACGGAGCTCCGATCTCGGCTGTGGTGGTGGTGGAGACCGGTTCAGTGAAGCTCTGACAGCCTAAAACCGGTGACGGTAGGGACTTCTTCACAGGCCTTGACGTAAGGTAGGGATAAGCAGAGGAAAATCGAGCTCCTGAGTGAAAACGTCTGGTTTGTTTATTTTATAAGACACATATGTAGGCTGAACAGAGGTCACTTTTCTTTGTGGGAGTACTTTTTTGGGTGATAGTAAATTGAGATACTTAACAGCTGGTGATTTCCATTGCATCTTTCCATGTAAGATAATATTCTGAATGTTTTGCCAGCTACAGTGCATGTTACACAAGAATCTAGAGATAAATGAATGCTGATTCATGTAAATACAGAGCCAAGTTTGGAACAGGGAAATTCTGACTAGCTTGACAAAAATGCTTTCTTTTCAACTTATTAACATGCAAATACGGTACACTGTGACTTTTTTTGTACTTTGAAATGTCTGCTAGTCTACTACAATTGAAGTTTTACAAATGTGTTGCCAGTATTTGCATTCTGCTCAAAAATACTTACAATAATGTAAAAAGAAAATGAATTCTATGAGCCATGCTGTCTTCCAGATCACCAAAAAAGTGTGATTGATGTACTATCTGCCAGTATTTTTGTGTGTGTTGTTTCACAAGTGATACTGATTTGTAGAACGTTTGACACAGTAGTTTCTCGGTGATACATTTCATTAATTCTCTCCTGGAGAGCACATTACAGTTTCAGTTTGAATATAGTCTGTGTGAAATACAAAGTACTGATAAAGGTCCTAAGCTTCTATCTACTAAGGCTTATTAAATACCATAGCAGATTATGCCATTATAGTGAACACTGGAACAGCAAAGTAGCAATGGAACATGTGCTAATCAGATACTACTTCTTTCTTGCTGCTGCAATTTATCTAAACATAAGAATTATAAACTGTCAAAGTGCAATTTATTTCCAGTGTAAAAGAATGGCTTGCATGCTAAGTGCAGGAATGGTAAAGGATTACACCATACAAATGACAATTTTGCTTGACAAAAAACTTATTTAAGATTATATTACAGAAATGTATTCTGAATTACTTAACATTTTTCAAGGATACATTTTTATATACAATGCAGTAGAAGACTTCCTAGTAGAAGAAAATGGCTTTATTACACTTGCAGCAGTTAAACCGAAAGAAGTACATGTTGAATTGCTCCATTATCTGTACAGTTTGTTACAAAACCAATTTGTCAGTGTCGATAGTTTTCCTGTGCTAGCTATTTAGTTTGTTATGAAGGTTACCCTTAGTAGTTCAGTTACTTTACCCAAGTAGTTTATAGCCAATATTCTAATGCCTTGTCTTTTTGTTTTTAAATATGTAGAAAGCGTTTGCACACTTGTAAAGCATGCACGTAAGTTAAGTGTCGAACTTAAGTGTCTAAGAAAACAGTAAAGGTAGTGCTAAACAACAGACTTTTATAGAAGAGACTATCAGGCACAAAACTTCTGTTGCCACTTTCCTATGGGTATTTGCCAGCTTGATGCTGAGTGACATTTATATAGTTTTGTTCATGCTTTTGTGTAATAGAGGGGACAGTAAGACTTATTTGCAGAAACAATATCTAGAGTTTTCACATCTCAAATATTGACTGTGGAGCATTTCTCGGTTTATCAGACAAAACACATATGGATTTTTAACACCCAAACCAAGCGGAGCTCTTGTTCAGCACATTGTTTAGAGAGAAACGTGAAGAAGTTGCAGGTAAAGGGTTCTGACGTGGTGTATATCAGATTGTTTCATAGTTCAATTGTACATGTGAAATAGAACTAGTGGTGTATTGATGTGATTGTCATAGGGAGACCAGTCGACATCTCTCGGGCTGCCTTTGTTTACTCATTGGCAGTTCCCTTTGTTCTAAGGAGACACTAGAAGGTGTATGAAGTTTTAGAACAAATAAGTAGACACAGCAGAATGTACATGCTCTAAGTTACCGGAGATGAGAGCAATACTAATTTCCCATTAGTTTAATTAGAATTGGTAATTGATACTTTTGTATATCTACAGTAATGTAGCAGTCGGGAAATAGTCTCTACTTACGTGACCGACCAATGTACCCCAGTGAGTGCAAGTTCTTTTCATTCTGATTATTTGATACTTCCTTTTTAAGGTAATGCATTTAATTTCTGACATGAGTTCCCAAATACATGTTGCTGAATACAGTACTGTAAAGGAGAACATCAGTAGAGAAAACTGAAAACAATTTGTAGCTCTCCTCCTTCTTGGCATCAGGTGTTTTATATAAAGTTTAAAACTGAATTCTGTATTCAGTACACTGCTGACATTTCACCGCCACTTTTTTAGAAGATCTTTCACAAGTTTGATTCCTATTCTTGTCTTGTTTAACATGGTGTTACTCTGAAAAATTCTTTTAGCCTCCCATTTATCAGTTCTCGTGTATTCAGTAACACACTAACGTATTTCCCTAATGGCAAACAAATGTTTATGTCACTTAGTATTCCATAGGTCTTAATCACTTGCCAAAAGTTAAAGCTGTACAGAAGTGTTTTGCTGAACGGGTATGAGTTTAAGCAAGTGTTTTTTTGGATCACAGATTTAAAATCCGAACCCTCCAGGTGCTGCACATTGCCTGTGAGGAGCCTGGATACTACTGACTTCCGCCAAAGACAGCCAAAGATAAGGAGAGCTCAGTGCCTGAGATAAATCACTTAACAGCTAAAATAGTAGCATATGAGTAGGTTTATTTCACTGAAACTTTTAATCACAAATATGAGATTAGCCTGTTAACAACCACTGTTTGAAGAGCAGGCCATTTAAACCCTGTTTATAGGTTTACATGTTTTGGCCATCATGTTCTCTTGCTTTCTTTTTTACTTGCTCTGCTCAACAATGACTGTTTACTATTTAAAACAGTGCAGTTGTGGTGTGGTTGGTTTTAAGTTTGTTTGGTTTTTTTTGTTTATTTGGTTTTTTTAATATATATTGGTCACCATCGGTAGAATTAACAGAAGCAGTAAAGGAATTTCTGAGTAGCATTATTTATTTGCTTGGTGTATTGGCTTCCTGGCCAATTCTGTAATCCTTTATGAATTATCCCTGTGCCTTTCCTCACTGGAAATGTACTGTTCAGTGAAGAAAAATGTTTATCATGCCAGAGTGTTCTGACACCTAGTCAAAACTAGATGCATTTCCCGAGAAGTCTTCTTCCCATGAAAGTGAAATATGTAGAAATTAGTTTTAGAAAAAATTCTGTGTATGATAGCCAGTTAATTTGTTTCATAACATTTCAAACATCAATCAGTCTGTTGCAATGTAGAAGCATTTTGACTAATTGGTTATCATGTATGTGTATTGTACCTGTAGACTAAATGGGTCAGTTTCCTCAAAAATATGCACATATAACCAGCAGCCTTAATAGGACCCAAAAATCATGCATTAAGGGGGCAATCATTTTAACCATGTGGGAAAGTATAATCTTTTTTCTTGCTTATGTGCAGACACACAGATATACACAGAGGCTTATCTCAAAGATTGCTTTATATAATTATAAAGTAACTCTCAAGAATCAAGTTTTTCACAACTTTCAGCTAAGCAAATACAGTATAATAATGGTAAAAGTAACAATGTTATGGTAGCACTAAGTGCAGTGCAGAGGAAAAAAAAATGGGAACATTGTTATTCAGCATAAACATTTACCTTGGTGAGTTGTTTCGTATGTTTAATTTTAATACTGCTTGGTAAGAAGTATATTGAAGTATATTTCAATTTTCTGTTCTCAATTTGCATTATATTAAATACTTTACAATTAGTTTTTAAGTGACCCACGTTTGACCTTCAGTAAAAAACTATGATGAAAGAGGGGCTAATTAAACATGAAATAGATGGATTGTTGATGCTTTAATTATCTTTAACACAATATGTTCCACTGATAAGTGCAGCCTTTATTTTTTTTCCCCTTCAGTGAAATCATCTTGTACAGTGTGCAAATGACTAAGTTAGCACTGAATCATTCTGCACTCCCAGGAGATGTACAGAGCCAAAAGGGACAGGATCTGAGTAAAGGAGGAT